GACGGTTCATAATTTCTATCAATATAAAGAAATTATTGCATTCGTATTCAACACAAAACAAAAGTTTAAGTATTATTCTCCTTACATTATCAAAATTCGTACAAAAAAAATCTTATTGGAGGACTTTGAAATAACAAGTTACAAATAACATTGCATTATCTTTTATCAAAAGAAGAAAAATTGGTAATTTTAATCAATGCGAACATTATTTTAGTATATTTTCTCAGATATTATTTTTATTTTATTCAAAACAACCAATCCAAAACCATAAAAAGTACAAAAAGCCATAGGCAGTCAATAATTTAAATTGAAATAGAGGAATTTTGAATATTTATCAAACAAAAACAAAAGTTTATGTATATTTATCAGTAAATTATTCATATCTTATACAAAAGTACTTATCTGAATGCATTAATGATGACTGATTGCAATTGATGTTGAATGATTTCTGATACAAAAGAAGACATATTTACATTTTCAAGCAACACGAACACAAATTTAGTATCTTTTCCCTGAAATTCAGCATATTTTATGAAAAAAAACCAATCCTGATGTACAAAAAGAACCAAAATCAAATGAGGGTTCATAATTTCTATCAAAATAAAGAAATTATTGCATTCTTATCTAACAAAAACAAAAGTTCATGCATATTTATCCTTCAATGATTCCCATTTTTATTTATACAAAATTACTTATCTAAAGGCATTTATAATGACTGATTGCAATTGAAGTTGCATTATTTCTGATATAAAAGAAGAAATATTTGCATATTTAAGCAAGGCGAACAAAAATTTAGTATCTTTTCGCTGATATTCAGCATATTTTATGAAAAACAACCAATCCTGATGTACAAAATGTACCGAAATTAAATGATGGTTCATAATTTCTATCAATATAAAGAAATTATTGCAAAGGTATTCAACACAAAACAAAAGTTAAAGTATTATTCTCCTTACATTATCAAAATTCGTACAAACAAAATCTTATTGGAGAACTTTGAAATAACATGTTACAAATAACATTGCATTATTTTTTATCAAAAGAAGAAAAATTGGTAATTTAATCAATGAGTACATCATTTTAGTATATTTTCTCAGATATTATTTTGATTTTATTAAAAAACAACCAATCCTGAACCATAAAAAGTACAAATAGCCATAGGCGTTCAATAATTTCCATTAAAAAAGAGAAATTATTGAATTCTTATTTAAAAAAACAAAAGTTTATGTATATTTATCCTTAAATTATTCATATCTTATATAAAAGTACTTATTTGAATGCATTACTTATGACTGATTGCAATTAACATTGAATTATTTCTGATATTAAAGAAGAAATATCTGCATTTTTAAGCAATGCGAACACAAATTTAGTATCTTTTCCTTGAAATTCAGCATATTTTATGAAAATAAACCAATCCTGATATACAAAAAGAACCAACATCAAATGACGGTTCATAATTTCTATCAAATTAAAGAAATTATTGCATTCTTATCTAACAAAAACAAAAGTTTATGCATATTTATCATTCAATGATTCACATTTTATACAAAATTACTTATTTAAATGCATTTATAATGACTGATTGCAATTGAAGTTGCATTATTTCTGATATAAAAGAAGAAATATTTGCATATTTAAGCAATGCGAACAAAAATTTAGTATCTTTTCCCTGATATTCAGCATATTTTATGAAAAACAACCAATCCTGATGTACAAAATGTACCAAAATCAAATGACGGTTCATAATTTCTATCAATATAAAGAAATTATTGCATTCGTATTCAACACAAAACAAAAGTTTAAGTATTATTCTCCTTACATTATCAAAATTCGTACAAAAAAAATCTTATTGGAGGACTTTAAAATAACATGTTACAAATATCATTGCATTTTTTTTTATCAAAAGAAGAAAAGTTGGTAATTTTAATCAATGAGAACAAGATTTTAGTATATTTTCTCAGATATTATTTTGATTTTATAAAAAAACAACCAATCCTGAACCATAAAAAGTATAAAAAGCCATAGGAGGTCAATAATTTCCATTAAAATAGAGAAATTATGGAATTCTTATTTAACAAAAACAAAATTTTATGTATATTTATCCTTAAATTATTCATATCTTATACAAAAATACTTTTCTGAATGCATTAACTATGACTGATTGCAATTGAAGTTGCATTATTTCTGATATTAAAGAAGACATATTTGCATTTAAGCAATGCCAACAAAAATTTAGTATCTTTTCGCTGATATTCAGCATTTTTTATGGAAAACAACCAATCCTGATGTACAAAATGTACCAAAATCAAATGACGGTTCATAATTTCTATCAATATAAAGAAATTATTGCATTCGTATTTAACACAAAACAAAAGTTTAAGTATTATTCTCCTTACATTATCATAATTCGTACAAAAAAAAACTTATTGGAGGACTTTAAAATAACATGTTACAAATGTTACAAATAACATTGCATTATTTTTTATCAAATAAAGAAAAATTGGTTATTTTAATCAATGAGAATAACATTTTAGTATATTTTCTCAGATATTATTTTGATTATATAAAAAACAACAAATCCTGAACCATAAAAAGTACAAAAAGCCATAGGAGGTCAATAATTTCCATTTAAATAGAGAAATTATGGAATTCTTATTTAACAAAAACAAAAGTTTATGAATATTTATCCTTAAATTATTCATATCTTATACAAAAGTACTTTTCTGAATGCATTAACTATGACTGATTGCAATTGAAGTTGCATTATTTCTGATATAAAAGAAAAAATATTTGCATATTTAAGAAACGCGAACAAAAATTTATTATCTTTTCCCTGAAATTCAGCATATTTTATGAAAAACGACCAATCCTGATGTACAAAAAGTACAAAATAATGAAATGATTGCATCTTTAATCAACACAAATTAAAGTTTAAGTATTTTATTACTAATTTTTTAAATTCTATCAAAGAAACTTTTCTTGAGGCCTTTTAAATAACTAATCAGAAATAACATTGCATTATATGTTATAAGAAGAAGAAATATTGGTAATCTAGAACAAAAATTAAAACAACACTCTAAATTAATTAATCCAAACAAAGCTGTATGTATCTTTACTGTTATACTATTTTTTATTTTCATCATCTAACGACAACAAATAGAGTATTTATTTTAAATGATAACATTTTATCGCTTTTTAGTGGTACATAATTAACGAGTAAAGGTGTCTTTGAAGAGGTCCGCGTTTATCGACTGTAAATACTGTGGAGTTCGTTTTACATACAAATTTTAATTATATACGTATCCGTCCGATCCGTGCATACAATTAATTTACTGATCGATCGCTGACCGTTGTCACGGTAACTCTCACATAGCCTATTTGACGTATCTGACGGATTCTATGGGTCATCGATCACCGATCAGTCATCGATCAGTCAAACATCCGTCACCGATCATTCACCGATCAGTCAAGTTCACGTCAAACAGTAACGCCTAAGGTTGCAAGTACTGTAAATGCATATAATTGTTTTCAATTTGAAATTTAATATGCATAAAATATGCATTTAATTTCCTATTAAATGCATCATTTCATGCAGTGTATTAACTGTACATAATACTAACAGGTACATTATAACGAATAATGTTAAATTTGTACCGGTTTTTAACATCAGAATCAAGATGGTAACATATAAAAGTGAAAATATCATCATTATTGTGCACATTGCGTGACTGTTACATATTTTTGCATCTTACTTAGTAAGTTTAAATAACAGATAACTACATTTATTCTTCGTGTTCTATTGCTTATGTATGGACACAGACATCACTTTATGATAACATGATATAGGTAAAGCTCAAACGGAAAATAAAAAAAAAAAAAAAAGATTTCGAAATTAAATACTTGGGTGATCGAAGGAATTATCTTTAATGTACTATTTTGTTAATACTCATTTTGAAATGGGATCGTATGTGTATTGAAAATACAAAATTATTGGAAGTTAATGGGAATTGAATAATACATCATGAGGCTAACGATAAAAAATAGATCATTAAAACACAAGAAAACAAAGTAATAAGAACAGAATATACACAGCAAATAAGCTGTACGTAAGGAGTCATATGATATATTTTCTTTATTTAAGATAAGTATGTTAAAAATCATGTAAGTACCAGATGACTGAATCCTTAGTTATTGATACCACCGGGAACTAACAGTTCACCAGCAGCGATATATACACAGTGCTAGTAAACGAAATAAATACAATACAGATTTCGTGCAATTAAAGTGTTTTCTGGATTTACCTTGAACTAGCAGGAACGCCCTGACCGAAACATTGAAGACCCAGGGATGCGTGAATACGCTGTTACGTTATGAGCTACGTATATATACGTGAAAATCATCAAAAAGGATAAAAAATATATGGGTTATACTCAGTGCCGAAGGAATCCAGTGACACGAAGGAAAATAGAAATAAAGTAAGAGTGTTGAGTTTAAACAAATAGACAGATGCATATAGAATATATATATATATATGTGCATATTAAGCTTTCAATCTACAAGAGTATTTAATAACATCAGAAAATTTCAAAGATCTGTATCAATGATTGCCATCAATTTCAAATTATCAAAATAAAAATGAAGATATGACTTATGACAATCACTGACAGATGCATGCCAATCCATGAAACAAACAACACACAGAGTCGTAGAAAACTATAAAAAGATACTATTCTTGCAATGCAAATGACATGTGCCATATAAACTATGCAATTTAAAAAAAAAGAAAAAAAAAGAGATCTACTGTGCTTATTGTTTTCTTTGATTTCGTAATACTCAGTTTCATTTATCATTTTCTGTCGTTTCATATTTTTTTCATCAAATTTCCGCGCTGTAATTTTGAGTTCTAAATGAAATAGCATAAAACTAATCACAAAAATCAATAACAAAATATGAAAATCGATTTAATCATTAATATGTATTAAGATAATTTTACTTACTTGGATTCCGGTTTCCATCAAAAAGTAAAACAAGAAGTTTTCCAAAATCTGTTCATTTTAGCAGAGGAGTGTTTTGAAGTATCCATCCAAATCATTAAGAAATAACCTAAGTTCATCCATCAGTAGGGGAAATATTGATCTACGTAATACTGTGTCATCAAGCGTCAAGAGTGATTACAGGTAAATGATACCGAACATGTTTATTTCAAGGCCAATAATCTCTTTAAAATGAATTTACGCTGCAATTTGTTAACTGTAAATTTTATCGTTATATCTTTTGATGGTTGTATCAATGATGAAAATAATGGTGTGCATGATAAAAACATTTATGCAAAAACTTTTGGTGGATCGGAAAATAAATTATGGGAGGTAATTTGAATAAAAAAAAATACAATAATGACATCACTTCTTAGGTTGTACACAAACATCAAATGAAAAAAGAAAACCCTCTTTATAAATACCATGCGTCAGACGTGTCTTTCTCTCTTTATGTAAAGTTATCGGGAACGCTCAAAAATAGAGGTAAGAAGATGTGGTATGATTGCCAATGAGACAACTCTCCACCAGAGACCAACGCTGAATATTTGAATGCCAAGGATGTATAAGAACCATTGAATACGGTGCAAAAGAAAACTGTCTATTTTTCTACCACTAGTTCGTTAATTCGTGTATGATAGTAATTCGTATATCTTTTTTATGTACGTCATGAATAGACTGCGAAGACGTAATTTTGCGACAAAAGAAGGAAATTTGATCACTAGCATTAGTTAAAAAAAACTAGGTTTACTATTTATTTGAAGCTACACAATGAGCACACGAGGCCTCAATGATTTCTTTTGCAATCTACTATTTATTACTTTAAAAATGTTATTTCGAAATTAAAAGAATAAAATCAACGGTAAAACAAATTTTCTGTATGCATTTTTATTAGCACAGAAATTGTCTATGGCTTTTTATTACCATAAATTTTATGATTTAACAAACATTTCATCACATTCAGTATTGATGTTTTTGTCTGTTTTTAAGAATTGAAAGATAAAATATTTGTTTTTACACGAAACATGCAAATTTAAGATGAATATAAACATTTACAAGTAAGTCATAAAGATATTGTTTCTTTTAAAAAAATTTCGATAGTGCATATGGACTTTGTTTCAAATTGTTAAAAAAAAATCAACGAAAGATTTTCACTGTATCGTATGCTCTTAAATGAAATAAAACCCATAGGAAAATCAAATGCCTCGTTATAGATCGATTAAAGAAAAATATGACAAATGTGCTCATGGACGTTTGAAACAAACGACTGCTTCTAAACAAAGCGTCAATATTTGAGAATAAGGAGACGGAAGCAAGCAGATACAAACGGGCATTTCACAACATTAAGCCATACAGAAGCCTTATATCGTTCAGATTGTACCCAAGATAGAAGGCATTGAACAACTATAAAACGACAAAAGAGTGTCGATACCTGATGATAAGAAACACGTACTGTGTCGACAGTAGGATATTTGAGTTAACTTTTAGACCAATTGTCTGGATGTCATCATTTTATATTTTATCGATGATGGTTTCATTAAAAATTAAGACATGGTGTTCTTTTGTTCAGACAAGAAAGCCTTGGAACTCTAGCGAAGTATATGCTTTCAAGTTAATGGCTGGGCGAGGTATGACGCTTCACCTTAAGGAATTGGATAATTAAAAAAAAAAGAATAATTGCAAAAAATTAACTCGAAAAAAAAAAAAAATAACCCAACGCTAAAACTAAGAACTGTATATGTTCTCCTGAACAAATTATCAGAAAATGAAATTTAACAAGACAAATACAGACTGATTATATCAAAACAGTTAGTTCTCATTCTGACATTCATCATCATACGAATGATTACCGACAATAAGATCAGCACTGGATCAATATAATCAACAGAACTACTCCACAACTATCAAATGAGCTACAAGAATAACAACTGATGCCATAACGTCAACACTATGATTGGCCGAAATAGAATAACGTATATCATAAATTTTTCTCTTGTTTTTAAATTTAGATATTTTCGCTAAGGATATTTTCTCGCAAAACTTTCTCAAGGCCCTTATCCCGAATAATTCAGTCTCTCCCCGTGATCGACTCTCCCACTCGCGAGGGCCTGAATTCTTTATACAATAAAAACGCGTCTCGAATCCAGGATTTTGATTGGTGCTCTCTGTGAGAGAGAGAGCCAATCAGCTAATAGCTCAATGTTATCGCGATAGGTAAATCCCGAGCTAATTCCGAATGATTATTTGACGATTTTTTATTGACTAGTCCTTCAGGCGTTAATGAAGCCATCGTAGAGCAGTGGAATATAACGACTGAATTATTCGGGTTACAAGGCCCTATGCGAAAGTTTAATTGTTCTTTTAAAATGCATATTATAAAACTACAAAACGAGAATTTTGAAGACAGTGAATATTTAACTGTTCTATCTAATGCCCAAAACCAAAGAAAAAAAAAAAAAAAAAAAAAAAAAAGGTTTGTGGTATCATTTTTCAAGAGAAATGACCATGTGAGGAGACATGTGCGAATCAATTCAAACTAATCCTGCGTGGAAAGGACTGCATTTCATTTCTGCGTTTTTGTGACAAAACTGTCAGAAAGTGCTTCACTGTTTACCAAAAAGATTCACAACGGAATCATCTGCTCTTTGTTGCAGAAATAAATAGGATAAAACCATCAGTCTGTATATCCATTACGTAGTCTCATTAAAAAATAGCAGAGATCATGATTCTGATTAAAATAAATTGTCAAAAAAAGTAAAAAAACCTCACGGAATATCACATCTGGACTATTAACAAAGTCAAAGTTTTTACTTGATCGATCTTAAGCAAGTTAATACACACTGGATATTTCATGTTAGAAAAGCAGCATCTCTTCGGCAGAACTGAAGTTTATAAGCTCATTTTGTTAAAAAAAAATCAAAAAAAAATCATATATTATGGATGTTGTCAGGTACAATTAGAAAAATCTGGAATTTGAATTTGATAATATAAATCAGAAGAGCATTAGTTAAGAAATAAAGTAATCTAAAAACCCTATATCGTTCGAAAAAACACAAGGAGTCAGAACATCTGAAAAAAAATTCCTAAACCTGGACTGAATACATCCTTAATTCTACATTAAAGGGGTGTCAACAGACAGAAGAAATATAGTTCATCATTCATGGATTAAAAGCTTCAATATCAGACTCACAAAGATATGTGTACAGACCGACAGACAAAAATACGAGCATTGCCCTAATTAAATGTGTGTAAGTCTCCAAAAACAGACCACGAAAAGTATGTAATTATTTCAAAAAACTTTTAAATGAAAACAGACAGATATATGAGCATTAAAAACGTGTGTGCTTTAAAGCATATAAACATATCGTAATTATCCTATCAAAATACTTTAATATTAAATTTCTTGTCTTTGGGAGAGGTAAATCTTACTTTGTAAAAAATTACTCTGATTCAAATAAAAAGTTCTCTAAAACTGACATTATCAAGATACTTTATTTCTTGATTGACGACATATTTGTTACGTTTGGAGGACGTATTATTTTCAACAAACAATCGGATTTTCCATGGGAACCAACTGTGCTCTTCTTCTTGCCCTCTTATTCCTTTATTCATATGTGGCTGACTTCATAAGGAATTGATAGAGGGTTGCTGCTCACAAAGAGGCTATTAAGCCAAGAGTTCCAAGTGGTGAAGTTGAAAGTTTCCTTCCTAATTTTATGGACGCCATCACGAATTGGTTGAACGTTATGGAATATCCGTTTCAAAGATGACAACAGATATGTTCTAATTGTCGTTTCTTCAATCCCGTTCCCTTTTCCCTGAATGTGACCTATCAAATTGACTTATCACTAAGTTTGAACTAACATGAGCAACACGACGGGTGCCACATGCGGAGCAGGATCTGTTTACCCTTTCGGAGCACCTGAGATCACCCCCTGTTTATGGTGGGGTTTGCGTTGCTTAGTTTTTTGTATTCTATGTACTTGTTTTGTTTTGTTTACTGTTGTTTGTATTTTTGTCTTTTCGTTTTAGCCATGGCGTTGTCAGTTTATTTTCTACTTAGAGTCTGAATGTCCCTTTGGTATCGTTTGCCTCTCTTTTATCTGGAAAAAGGCAAAGGACTTTATTAATTGGTTATTCTTACTGAGGTAAAAGAAAAGTTTTTATAATATGGTTCATGCATGTTTAAGAGCCAGTCTGTGGTAAAATCATGCAAAATGGTCCGAATCCAAAATTATCCAATCAGACTGATATTTTGTATTTTTGATACCTTATATGTAATAACTATTTGTGCAAAATATTTTGAAAAAATATTCAGCCATTATTTGTGTATGCAGAACATTCGATAATTGTCCATTTCTGCACTGACAAAACGCCATTTTAAGCCTATTTTAGGGTATTTTGACCTGGTTTTTTGTATTATTATTGAAAAGTTGCAGCTTAATGATAACTAATACCTTAACAAACAACTTAAAATGAAAGAAAATTAGGATAGTTTTCAAAGTTTTGACATTTCTCAATACCCCTACTGGCAGGTTGATATTGCATGGTTTTGAAAAAGTGCCGATTCAGCAAAATGTGTCTTTTTTAAAGACCTGAATCTTTTAAGATCATGTTTTGTTTTTAATAAAATGGTATACAGCATGAAGCTTATATATTTATCTACAAAATGCAAAAAATGGTGCTCGGCAAATAATACCTTCTTACGATAAAATAACAATTTAAGATGGACAAGATGGCAATTTTGCTGTATTTATGAATTTTTTATTGGTTACAAGAGAAACTTTACATATGTATGTGATAGTAAAAATATAAGAAAATAATGACAGATATAATGTTTATCGCTTATCTTGTTTGATTAAACTCAGTTAAACTTAGTTTTAAATGAAAATATACTACTAAAGTAGGCCTGGAAAGACCCCTTTTAAGCCCAAAAATTTGGCATTTTTCAATTTGTTTAAAATACATGTATTAACTTATCGATACTTATGAAAGTCACTTTTCAAAAGTAGAATACTTAAGTTACTTTAAAGTCATTTTTTTATGGGCTGTTTTTTTACAATACTATGAGCATTCAACAGGTACTATTATCATTAATTTATGTAAAATTTCTGAAATCTTCACAATTTTAGCATTTGTGCTAATTTTAGACGTTTGTTGTCTAAAATGGATATGGCCACTTTTGTTCAGTCTTGATATTTATATACATGTTGTATTTGATGATATTACATACAAATATAAAAATTGAGACTGGGTGCTTCTTACCTAGAAAAGGGGGTCCATTTTTTTATATTGGAATTAATCTTTGTAAGTTTTTTGTCAAATATCAAGCAGATGCTGAGAAAAGTGTTACTTAAATTTTGTAACGCTGACATGAATGACAGATATTGATACCTATGTAGCTTCTGGGATAACAGTCGACATAACAATGTTAGGTTTCCTCATAGAATGTAATCTCCAATAACTTGAGGCATGTGAATAAGACATGTAAGATGTAATTAGCCTATACTACCACAGAAAAACAAAAATATTTCAAATGGAAATAAAATTTATTTTATACCTACATGAATAAAAACAAATATACAGATAAATGGTTCAACTGTGGTGCAGACATTTTCATAATTATGGTTATATAATTATTCAGGCTGTTTGCTTATAATTTTATTGTCATATAATATTAGCGAAGTCTGCCATAAAGAAAAACATACGTCTGAATACATGCAAACAGTGATAAGATCTGAAGCCAGGTTGGATGACTATTTAGGTTTAAGTTAGTAAGTATGCATCAATAAGAGCTTCAGTCAAAACATCCTGTTGTAATATTGACTGTGTTTCGTCTGTTTTCCTCTTTTCTACTACAGATCAGAACACTTTATCGACTTGTATTGTGCAGGTACAATATAATTCAAAATCAAATCAATAATTTCTGATGATAATTTTGTAGAAAAAGCCATTGTACTTTTTGATACATCATCCCATGCCAGATTCAATTGGTTCCTAAATGGTGGATACTTTCCATTTCAAAGGAAATGCAAGCCTCTGTTGAGATTCTCCCGGTCAGAAATGTTATCTGTTTCCCAATCTGATGTTTAATATTATGAAAAATTAGTTGATGCTGTGAATATACTCCTATGAGAACCTGAGCATCTTTAATTTGGCTTTCATCTCCATCTAAAAAGATAAAAAATAAATCTACAAATGTACTTTAAAAAAATAATATATCTTATTATATTAAAGATAAATAAATTCTCAAATATATACAATGTCCATGATATATGAGATAATGAGATAACTATGAAATCTATTTGGTTCGGACCCAATGAAAAAAAATATATAAGATATCTCAACTGGTGGAGTAAAATCATTGCTTCACCACATCTAGTATATCTGATAAAACCTCAATGTCTTCATGCAATAAACTGCTTCGCTGAGCGCAGCTGGATACATCCGCAGAGGTCTAACCCTGAACAGTTGGGGTAAAAATGGACACAATATTCAAGCTTGATACAGGTCTGAATTTGGATTGTAATTAAATATTTGACATATTATAGGTTTCTGAATAAATGTAGTCTTGAAATTGGTTATATGAATTGAATTTATATTCATTTAAAGATTTCTTGCTGTTGTGCAATACACTGTGCTGTTGCGCAAACTTAGTAAATCTGTTGTCAGACTATAAACAAATAAAGTTCAATTTCTTCTCAATGTCATTTTTGAAATTCATGAAAATCAATAGGGAGATTACATCAATACTAAGCTATAAATAATTCACCAAAGTTTCATGAGAACTGCTGAAAGCATTTTTGAGTTATTGTCTAAAAACTGGAAAATCCCCCCTTTTTTAATGAATAAAACCCCATAACTCAGAAATGTAAAATCTAAAATTTATAAAATTCTAAAGGGAGCTTACATCAACAGATATAAACAATTCACCAAAGTTTTATGAGAATTGCTGAAAGCATTTTTTAGTTATTGTCTGAAAACTGGAAAATCCCCCTTTTTTTATGAATAAAACCCTGTAACTCGGAAACGTTTAATCTAAAATTATAAAAATAAAAAAGGGAGCTCATGTCAATAGATATAAACAATTCACCAAAATTTCTTGCAAGTTGGTGAAAGCATTCTTGAGTTATTGTCTGAAAACTGGAAAATCCCCCCTATTTTAATGAATAAAACCCCATAACTCGGAAACTGTAAATCTGAAATTTATAAAAACGAAAGGGAGCTCACGTCAATAGATATAAACAATTCACCAAAGTTTCATGCATGTTGGTTAAAGCTTTTTTGAGTTAATGTCCGACATGTTGACGACGGACGGACAGACGGACGGACGGTCAACGGTATACCATAATACGTCCCGTAAACGGACGTATTAAAACTTAACCAAACCATTCATGCAGAAATTGTAGGCCAAAGTGACCTTATCAATAGTTACCATGTTGTACTTCCCAAGATATCTATCCACTAGCTATAGTCAAGTATCGATGTAATACCATGTCTATTATCTTACAGAGACCTAAACACACAAAATTAACAAAGTTGCTCAAGTGGAAAATGTAGGTCAACATTACCTTTATAAAAGTGAATCATGTTGAACTTTCCAAAATCAATATACTGGTTAAGTATCAAAGCTATACAATTTTGTACCCGAGATATTGACCTTAATGCTAAAAACTTAACCATGTCACTCGTGGAAAATGTAGGTCAAGGTGACCTGATTTTTATCATTTACCCTATTGCTCTACCCAGAACCTATCCACTGGTCAAACATTATAGCTATACTACATGTCTCATGAATATATCTAGTGTCACTTAAGTGAAAATGTAGGTCATAATGACCTAATTATAAATGTTTATTAGGAAATTCTTATATGAGGTCCTTGATTGAATCCAAGTTCCATGATAAAACTAATACAAAGCTATACCCAGTACTGTAAATTCAGAAATTATTGCGTGCATTAACAACTGCGATTTTGTAATGTAATTTTAGACTGAAATGCGAATTTAATTTTTGCAATATTCAGAAAAATCCTGTTTAATTCATATAGTAAATTTCAAAATGCGAGTTTAAATTATTGCGATTAAAACCCTGTCGCAATTTTCGCAATAATAAAAACATCGCAATAATTTCAAATTTTACAGTAATATTTTTGACATAATCACTATTTTGGTAATGGTTAAAAAATTTACCACTGGTCGTCTCATGATTCCCTAACCTCCACCCCTTCCCACTAAATGTATCTCTGTACACTTTACAATCAGTTTAAAATGTTGAAAATGCCTTTCAATTGCCCCTGTAAATAAACTATGTGGGGATGTATAAGAACCCTGCCACATCCGATCTCTGATTTTGTTAGATGTGTTTATGCTTTGTGTCAATCTGATGAGTTACGCCTCAACTGACACATGACTGATTTCTTATGTTGTACTGCTACACTACTGTCCCAGGTTAGATGATGGTTGGCGCCTTCAAACGAATTTAACCTCAAATTGGTTGTTGTTTGTTGCTGTATACCATATTTGTTTTTCGTTCATTGTTTTGTACATATATTTACTCATTCTAAATAGTTTAACATTTGTGATTTCTGGGCCTTTGAAAGCTGACTATGCGGTATGGGCTTTGTTCATTGTTGAAGGCCATACAGTGACCTATAGTTGTTAATTTTTATGTCATCAAGGCTCTTGTGGAGCATTGTCACATTTGCAATCATTTCAAATCACTTCTTTTTTTTTATAAATGCAATAACATTCTCATACATTTTGTACATGTATGTTTTCTAACCATAATCTTTTTTGTATCAACTATGATTCCTCAATCAGCTTCTGTTTGTCTAATCTTGGTAAAACACTGCTTGCAGAGACCTACAATGTATGCCTTTGTGAAAAAATGGAATAATGCAGCCAGTCAATGGTACCTTACACACTAAAACCATCAATAAAACATGATCATGTCAATGTCCACTGAGATGAACAATGTTTCAGGTGTGAACAATCAATCAATTTATAAACCTGTTGTTCTACGGTATGCTGCCAGTGAATAAATTATAATAGCCAAATCTATTTTATCAAATTAAAGGTTAAAACTAATTTATTTACAAAACGGCATGCCTCATTCGAATACATGGACATGATGGAGACATTATTAAAGTCAGTAAGCAGAATGAATATCAAGACTACATGTAAAACGTCATACAACTCACACCCTATAAAAACCTAGATTTTGTGCTTTCATTTCAGACAAATAAAAGGGGAATTGAGATTTTAGTGACAAAAACAAAACAAAATTAACCTCACTACATTTATGTGTGCCCTTTCCAACTAAGGAATATATTGTAGGTTGGTTTTTACATGTAATACCGCCGTTATGTCCTTGCTTCAATAGAAATTTATAATTTACAATTTTTTGTATCTTGACCATATATCTACATGTATTAGAAATAATTCCTTTTTCAATATACATGTACATGTATAACGTCACAGTACACAAATTGCACCTATTCAACAAAAATAGCTTCAAAAATCATACAAGTTTTCTTTGAGACTAAATAATTTGTATTTTTATGATTTGACATTATAGACGCCTTTTAAGATAGATAAATGTATTCTAATATACAAAAAACCTTCATAGTATATATTACAACAGATGAAGCACACTGAAAAAGTAAAATCTACGGAAACGTCGCCATGCGACGTTCACAAAAAGTCATCTTTTAAAAATGAGCAAATACAATATGTTACACGCATCTATTTCTTAAAAAATGAATACTAAGCATGGACTAATGTCAAATTGTTCTAAATATTTGAAGATATAAAACAAAACATCTGTTATTTGTATTTTAAGGATGTTAATTTAAGCATGAATGCAATTTGGATACTCCTCATTACAGATTCATGGATCGTTTGGAGGTCTGTTCAAACACATTTTTCTATGATTCAATATGGATTCAAAATTAAATTGGTGTTACTATATAGTAAAAAATGATACATCTACCAAAGAAACACAGAATGGTAACTTTTGTTTGGATCTTAAAAAAACGTAGGTGAAAAAACTGTCAAAATAGGTGCAATTTGGGTACCCTCACGTTATATGTTCAATGTATCACATAATTATATACCTCGCCACTATGTCATGCATATGTGGCAGTTTTAAAAATGAATCTTTTCATAATACAGTGGTGGATCCATCCAGGGAGAGACCGGTGGTCAAAATAATTATGACATCTTGAAAGGCCATTTTATTTTATGGGTATGCCTATGGCGCCTGCGTCACTGTAAGGTGTCGAACATGTCAAAGCAAAAAAAAATAAAATAGCCTTTCAAGACGTCATATATATTTGGACTAGGGACCAGTTTGTTAGAACCTTCTCTTTTTTTTGGTGATTAATGCTTTTGAATAGGAACATATGGATGGACCTCCCTTTTTATCCTGCTAAGAACCACCCCCCCCCCCCCCCCCCATTTTTTTTTAAATTGGCTAGATCCACACCTGTCATAATTAACTAATTTTTTTCTGTAGTTTACCTGACACTTTTGGAATTAGTTGTCATTACAAAAGTCAGTATTCCTATGATAGGGTTAGTGTGGTTCCTCCATCACTATCAGCTTTTCGCCTTTTGGAGTTTTGCCTTAATGTCAGCAGGACGATCTGCATGATCTTTGAATCCAGACTTTGTTGAATAGTCCCGCCAATATATCCCAAAACAAGTCTCTGTGCCATCGGCATGGACATATTGACAGTTTTATAGCACCACGATCAACAGAAAACAATGTCACTTTGCTTATTTGTATAAAATAGTCCTCCGGCTCCTGGAACATGTGGAAAGTTTGATAAACAGGCCTCACTGCCCTACGTGCTGTGGATAAATTCAAGGTGGTGGTTGTGTCCTTTGTACAAAGATAAACTTTGTCTAACAGATGAGTTGTATAGTGCTTTGATTGTCCACAACAACCTCCAAGATTAGAAAAATCGGACCGAACAGAGACTTCTGCTTTTCATCACTGGAAGCTGCTATATTGCCAGTGAAAGATTTCCACTAAGGGAGACAATTTAACCACACAAATAACATTGAGGCTACCTTTGGGTAACTTAATGTTAAATTTTGCAAATTAACAAGAAAAAAAAACCCATACATTTAGCCAGAAATATTTTTCAACATAAAATAAATCAATTTTAGCCAAGTTACCACCTACTTTAAGCAATTTTAGCTAAATAACAAGAAACAAAAACTATTAAAATTATTGCATTTTATGGTTATTTTAAGAGTATTTTTTATCAACTTTCCATTATTTGCCAAGCTAAACATTTTTACCTGTCTTAGAATTGATATACACCTTTCAAAATATTACAAAAGTTAAGAATAAAAAATATGATCTTAAGAGAAAACTGCTATTGAGTACATGTAGTATATACAAGTTGTTTATTACATCTGTTGCGCGAACTTTCTGGCAACCTGCCAAAAGGTCAGAAGTTCTCAAAAAGCTATTTTTTTGGTTATTAACTAATTTTAATTCAAAATATGATAAAAATAATATTTCATTTAAGAGCTATATCAATTATCCAGACCCTTAAAAAGTGCCTAAATAAGGTGAATTTTTAGCCATTTTTAAAAATAATTCACTTGTATGCAAATTAGGCGGTTTAATGGAAAATAGCGCAAATTAACAAAAAAAAACATTTTTTTTATCTTAACTCCTGAATACCTAAAGTTTTTGGAAATATATATAATTTTGGCAAGTTGTAACTACCAATTAGGACGAAATTTGGGATTTTGCATGGTTTTATGGCAGACTGGCTCTTAAACATAAATGTTTTCCGGGATTTTGAAAACAAGCATTTGAATATTGAATAATTTTTTTTTTTACAAAATGTAAGAATACTATTAGCACACTTAAGATATTGTCTTTTTTTTTATATAAAAATGAGTAGTTGTGGTATGATTCCCAGTGAGACTACTTTTCACCACAGTTCACATGAAAGGATTGTAAGCAATTAAAGGCAACCGTACGGCCTTCAATTTGAATCGTACCTATTTTGGAAGAAATCTATAACATAGCTTCGATGGTTATATGATATTTCCACAATAAGAATGGTTATCTTATAACGGTTTTCTCAGGAGGAGATGCACTTATTTTCCTAATTGTTTTCATGACTGTCACAGTATACGCTAAACGTTATGCACAAAATCTGAGAAATGTCAAATCATCTAGATATATTTCTTCAACATGAAACTGTTTAGTGTCATGTAGATTGTCACTCTCTTTTTCGTTTTTGAATACCTTTAAAATAAAAGATGCAAATCCAGCAAAGTTAACAAGAAGATGCATACCACCAAAATAATTTGATTTAAAAAAAACATCCTTTTGATAATGTTAACTAGCTATCTATAATATTATGCACGATCTGTTTTTTTTGTGTTTAATTTGAAAATAATAAAAGTGCTTCGCGCGCTGATGCAAGATTTGACGGAATCGTCTTTAAATAATTGATTGAGCTGACTGATATAATGTCGGATTCCAATATTTAGTTTCAAAGTTTCGATATTATCTTAAGGATCAAACGGTAGAATTTAGTGGTAGATGATGGAAATGCAATACACACAGTTACGTTCACAAGTCTATGTTTCGAATATCTCGGGTAGCATTTATCTCATTGGTTTTTTTCTTAATTATGATACAAAAATAAGCTGGATTTCTAATTATGAAATGGACAACACGACGGTTGATACCAGTGTATCAGAGACTGCATTACATACCGGAAAACCAGAAATGATTTAAAGTTTTATGTGAGGTCCGCATTGCTCAGTTTTAAGTATTTTCTGTAGTGTTTGTTTTGTCGAATGTGTTTTCTGTTTTTCATTAAATGATCGTTTTCCCGCCCCTTTGCATCTCATCACATTCGTACATATGATGGGGTTGAGGGTCTTTAACATAAGCATTGTGTCAAAATCTTAGTCGTCACTGTATTTGCCAAAAAAGAGCTCATATACAAGAGTTTTAGCGAGATATGTCACAGTCACGATAGATAAGTGCATGTATAGGGAAAATAATGTTTTCCCGTAGACGAGTTGAAAGGTCCAAAAGAGATAAAATTTGTAATGAAGTTGAATAAGATTATATCTATGTACGAAAGGGATAAATGACAAGCACGTGAACATAAAATTAAAATTGTAAAAAATAATTAAAAACCACATTTTATATAACGGTTTATATAAGGCGTAGTTTTCAAGTTACGGTGGATTTATTATTTTGATGCACTTTTAATGATTCTCTATCTATCAAAACTCGATAGAGCAGATAAATTTGAACTTTAAACACTTTGAAGGCTTGTTTATCAATGAATGCAGAATAAAGTAATTTCAAATTCAAACAAAAAACATATAACGTAAAACTTCTCCATTACTTTCCAAAAAAGAACATAACCAAAGTAAAGTAGTTTGCCTTCTCCACAAATACTTCAAAACGACCATTAAATACCAGAAGGAATTGAAAGAACTATCTTAAAACAATCTCTAATTTTAAGTGTTTGTTTTGCTTTCAATTTATATATTATTTGTACCAGGCTTTAACTTATAAAGTTCACAATCAGCTTTTTGGTCTAAACATTCACTTATTACACCTTGGTATACTTTGTTTTATATTTTACTTTATGAAAAGAAAAGAAATATCGAAACACTTATAATGTATCAAGAGCAGAATGCTTAATTTGAAGAAAAATAGGTACTTTTTAAAGATTTAATAAAATGCATTTTTTACTGAATTATCTCCTTTTGTACAATAGAAAATCAATATTTATGGCTTCAGTTATTGTAATTGTATTATCTTCATTGTTAGTTTAACTTACATTGTTAAGTTTAATAATGGTTTTTACGGAAGCGTATTAGGGCCATCCTTTTTATTTATTTTTTTTCAAATTGTCGACATTAATCTTGGAATTATCAACTTTAATCTTGGAATTATCAGCTTTAATCTTTGAATAATCAACTTTTATCTTGGGATTATCAACTTTAATCTTAAAACAATCTTTAATTTTAAGTGTTTGTTTTACTTTCAATTTATATATTATTTGTACCAGGCTTTAACTTATAAAATAAAATATATGTTAAATCTACCATGTTAACATAACAACGACTTATTTGGACTTCAATGATAAAAAGTGAAATAACAAAAATACTGAAATCAAGGTCAAATTCAAAACGGAAAGTCCCTTATCAAATGGCGAAATAAATGTTTAATATTGTTTCTGGTCTTTCTGTTTACTTATATATGGATATTTCGAGGATTTGAACCTAACGTAGACAAATCGTCGTGTGATTTTTATAATATTCAATGTCGACTTTTGATAAAAATGGAGATATTTATATATCTGATATGGTATGGGTTATCTCCCTATACAACTATAAAACGAGATTTCTATATTCTACGAGTTTTTGCCAGAACTATACTAGTTGGACATATAAAGTTCAGAGAAAACGTATAGTATTGTATCGCCACTATTTTTCAGATCTTGCTACTCTAAATTAATTGTTATAAAACCTATCTTGTTCAATACTATGCTTATTTTTTTCATAATTACTTCAACATGTTAAACTCAAACTTTGAGTCTTACCCAGCAAATCAAGCATAACAGAATTTGGGATATTACAGAATTAAAAAAAAAAATCTATGGTCTATCTCCGATACAAATATTGGAAATGATATCTAAAAGAATATTTTGTATTGTAGTGTTCTATCTCCCGAACATTAATTAAGGTGGTTGTTTATTCAAAACAATTGAACAAAAAATTGCTTTTAAAGTCAATAAATTTGATTACTGCAATGTTTTTCCCAGTCAAATATATATAATATTGCACAATATTGATAATTTTACAACATAGTATTGTGGTGCTCTTTAAAATGTTCTTTCATGACATTTTAAGAACTATGCAACCTGCATTATACTGTAAATTAGTAACGATTTGTTATTTTCGCGTGAACATTTAATAAGTTTTCTACTTCCTAATTTCATTTGATCACGATTTAAGGCAAGACTTTGGTACTCTTTTTAACTTACACGAGTAATTTTTAATATAAAGTAAATGAAAAAAGATTTAACCATGTTCAAATACAATAAACCTAAAAGTCGTAATGCTACATTCATGAATATGTATTATTGTATTCTTATTATACGCTGTTCCTGTGTTTCACGTACATTGTACATGGAATGAATTGTGAGTATAGTATCATTGGTGTGTGTTTTTTTTAATTGATATTTGATAACTATTCATTAGCAAAAATAGGATTTACAATGCACCAATTCTAAAAATCATCCAGACTTTCAATTTGGTATGTTTTCAAAATGTGACGTAACGTTTATAGTAAACGGCGTTTTACTCACATTGATTTCATACTTCCATAGACCTGGAAATTTCATGGTGGGTCACATATGCTTGTGACGCGAGTATACAGTTGTGCATAATTAATGAGCTCTGGTCTAACAGATGAAAAAATAGGGGTTTTTAATCATAATTTCGATAATTAGAGTCCTAAAAATGAAACGAAACATATTTTGTCATTTGTTATGTACAAAAGTACTGCATTTCCATGTCTTTTTATTTCACTTCAAAATTTCGGGTTTTGTTGAAGAAACCGCCTCTTTAACTTATAGCAATAACATTCACGGTACAAATTTTGGCAAATCCAAACCCAATACAAACGTTAAAACAAAACAAAACAAAAACAAAAAAAATGACAAAAACAAAAAAATGACAAAAAGTAAAGCCAAACCCGGCAAGGCTAATGTCATTGCCTCGAAACTTGTATAGATGCAATCATGGCTTCAATAAATGTTATGGAGAATCGATGTCATAGATGACCATCGATATGTCCTACTTTTCGTACTACATGCCTTTACTCATAGCCTCGATTATTACATCATCACATGCGTATGATCACCATATTTTGACTTGCCATGAGCAAAAGAACGAGTGCAACTTTTGGAGTAGAAATTCATCTCCGTTCTTTTGTGAGGATCCTATCACCCTATCTTAAGTTGTATTGTGTAGTGTTCTATGGACTCTTGTTTATCTTTTCGTCTTTTTTTCTATTTTGGTCACGGCATTTTGTATTTTACTTCGATTCATGGCCACTCATTGTCTCCTCCCTTTTAATATACATATCAAAATTAACTCAAAAGAACAGACAATACACTATATATTTCAGAATATAAATGAATCTGTAATATTCATAACAAATAAATAAATCTTGATATTCGAATAATTGAGAATGATTATCAGAGAAAGACACTTTTGTTCTACAGAGCACCAGAACTAGTAAGCATTATCTTTTCATTGTTTGATTTAGTTGTTCGTTCATTCATATTTGATACAATAAGCTTTATTTCCGTCTTTCCATCGTTGATTGTATTGAAGTTTCCTATTTGACAAACAGTCTGCTGCCTCTATATCACACATACAGAAGTTATATTTGCATTTATCCCTATTATCTGAAAAAAGAAATGTATGCATACAAAACTCAATTGTATGAAAACTGATACAAATAACAGTCAAGTAGTAGAATCTCTGACAGTTTTTTCAGGATTAAATTGTCATGATCATATTTACTAGACGTGCAAAATACGTGGGAGGTGTAATGATATGTTAGTATGTAAAAACATGGTAACTATGTCACTCGAAATTGTGCTTGAAACTAGCAGTTAGTAGCTGCAACTACTGATAGAGCGATACGTTGTGTATGTATTCATTATTTGAGTTGTTTGCTTTAGATAGTTCTTTTACATCTGTTCTTTTTTAATTTCTATTTGTTTTCAAATGTTAAGCGGTAATACCACTAGGTCGCAGAAAGGTTTAGAACCCTAACAATTTTTAACCCGGTCACACTCTTCATGTGCTTGTAACAGTCACAATGTATGCACTATTGTGTAAATTAAAACAAAATCAATAGGAGTTTGACAAATATCTTTCTTTACTCTACGTTAAAGAAGCTTTGCAACATCTCATTTATAGTCTGTAGCTGGCTTGTGGTAAGGTAATACAAATAGCTCGTTTTCCAGCTGTTTTATCATTTATCGCGCATACCAACTTAGAAAAACCACGATGTCGTTTTAAATGTTTATCTTTTTCTCGTCCTGAATATGAATAATATATTTGCCATTAAACTTTAAGAAAAAAAGAAGACAATGGTCAAATTGTATTTTCGAGTGTCCATCGTGAAGAAATAGATAATATGGTAAGTACTACAACTCCATATCTGTAAATTCAGAAATTATTACGATGTTTTTATTATTGCGAAAAATGCGACAGGGTTATAATCGCAATAATTTAAACACGCATTTTGAAAGTTTTTATATGAATTAAACAGGATTTTTCTCAATATCGCAAAAATTAAAACCGCATTTTAGTCTAAAATGACAAAATCGCAATAATAAATGCACGCAATAATTTCTGAATTTACAGTATCTTTTTAATTCCGCAAATGTAGAAACATCTGTTAGGAGTAAATCTCTAACAGTAAATGCAAAAGAATAAATAAATAAAACTTTGAATATCTCACCCCGACTTAAATATCACAGTAGATTTTATATAAAGCACAATAATTTTAATTTAATTATACATTTGCATACTGAAATCCGACTTGAAAGATTTCAATAAGTAAAAAATAAAAAACCCAAATGTGTAATATACATTGTCATAATAAAAAATATAACTAGCATACCACAAAAGCATTACACGCTTTGATTCTTTTACAACTAGGTAACATTTGCATTTTTCAAAAACGATTTCCACCCACATTTCTTAAACGAATCTCAAGAAGACCCAGATGCTACATGCAGTAAAAGTCACATAATTTTGACACCAAATTTTTTATCAAAACTGCAAAAACATTGGACAATAACAATTTTATATACAGTCTAAACTATCCAAAAGGCATGCTTATTAAAAAACAAAATTGTCATACTAACACAGATATCATTTTAGCAACCTCTTTCAATTGAAACATATTTCAAGTATACACGTAAATTATTTTAATTAACTTACTGCATTTAATCATTGAGTCAAAACACTGAATATAGGAGTAATATCTAGATGACACTGGACAACCTTTTATTAATATCTTTTTAAAGCACATCTGGTGCTCTAAACAGCATCTAAGTAGAAAAAAGAAAGCTGTAATTTAGGATTCATTTAAATGTAAACAAGTCTTTCGCTTATTTCAGTCGTTTGATTGACTTATATCACACTCCATCTTTTATTCGTATATGTGATTGTTTGAAAATTAACTTTCAATACGATTTTTCATTAAAAGAAATGCACACAAAAGATACATTTCAACCGAACTTTGTACCGTTTTATGCGACTTTCTAGTGCAGTTATTCTTTTTAATGTATTCGTTTTGCATATATTCGTTATTCTTTTTGTTGCATTTTGTTTATTCATCTTGCTGTTTTATTTTGCGTTTTCCATACGAAAAGAAATCGTGCTTCAGCATTAGTGCCACTAAACGAATTTACCAACGCAGTAACTAATTTAACGGGTGCCACATTTGAAGCTGGAAATACGTTCACATCCAAACAGTTCATGTTTTTGAAGAGGTGCGTATTTAGCAAACAAAGGTGAATATGTAGTGTTCATTTTGATGGTTGGTTTTCTTTTTCGCGTTCTTCTTTTTGTCGTGATTTATTGTTCTGGTCGCCACATTTGCACATTCGCCTTGTGGTTTTTTTTCAATTTTTTATCATTATTTAAATCTCAGAAGTATTTATGAAAAGCAATTCTCTCATTGAATTTTTATCGTTAAATGTTTCCACAATAGGAAACAATAAGTTTCTACTATAAAAAAAGTAAGATGACAAAAAATACCGAACTCTAAGGCAATTCAAAACGGAAAGTAAAATGGCAAAATCAAAAGCTCAAACACATCAAAGAATGGAAATCAACTGTCATATTCCAGATTTGGTACAGGCATTTTCTTTGTAGAAAATGGTGGATTAAACCTGGTTTGATAGCTTGCTATCCATATAAAATAGCCGTGAATTCGTTAATTTCCATATATTTTTACAAACAAAAAACAAGATCCATGACCCCCAAATATTTTTCATTGAATTTTGAAAATACATTGACCCAATAGTCTTTCACAGAAGTTTAAGTAAAATCTATCGTTGAGAATTTAGACACCTGAACTACCTTCAAAGACTAAAATTGGTGTAGAACAGGATTGGCGGATGAACAAATCAAGAACCTTACACAGGATTACAACAAAAGATGCATACGGGGCTGTATATACCGAATGAAGAATCAAAATTTACTTTGACAACATTGCATCCGGGGTCAAGGTCTTAATCAATAGACTAAATAAACTCATCATAGATACCAGAATTGAAATTGTGTACGATAGCTGCACGTGTCGTCTACAAAAGACAAAAGTAAGGAAAACAAGCTATATTAAGGGTGTCCAGATAAAAGAAACCAAAACACTTAACATGGGATTGAAATCTTTACATATACTGAGAAAACTATTATTTATTTTGATATTGTTTCTTTAAAGGAAAAGGTCTCAATACTAGTACTTAAAAAGAAAAAAGTAAGTGCAGAAAAACGACTTACTGTTATAACCCGCAACCTTACATTGAATTGGAGTTAAGCTTAAATATATGATTACATCTAAGGACAGGGTCAAGATCGTACATGTAAATACAAGAAATGAATTGGAATGGTAAACTGTAAGAACATAGAAATGGCGCTGTGTATTATCAACTTGCTAACTGACGTATTATAAAAAAAATTCAAAAAGTTGTAAACGTGACGATTTAAGTCATCCGAAGACTGGTTGTAATTAATTTAACCCATATAACCTAGCTCCTCATTTGATAATTTGAAAGAAAAGTCATAGATGATAATACAGATGAAGTGTTTAAAATTTAGTTATGTTCCTGACAAGATTTGTCCGCATTTTATAGGACGAGTCATCATTTTGAATCATGTAAGGCAATTCAAAATGTTGACTGAATATTTCAGTATATAATTCTCGAAATGCTCAATGAATGCAGCATATACGCCACGTCTTTCATTTACACGTACTTGGGTTTACAGATCAGAGACATTCTTTTAAAAAACTTTCCCACTTTGGAATGTATTGTTTAATGGTTACAAGACAAGACAGCACAGTAAGTTATACAAATTTAAAATTACATTTCAATTGAGGAATTTAACAAATTCAAATTTTAGTCGATGACGATGGATCAATATCATGAATATCTAGCAACGGGTCGTCATCAACTTGCAGTACGGTGTAATCGTATGCGTCTTGATGAAGGCATCGGTGAAACTTTGATCAGAAGAACAGCCATAACAGCACTTCACCATTACCGTTTTGTCAAGTGTGTAGGGATTAATTCCATAAATTGATACAATATGCTCATTCCTTTCTATCTAAATAGTTTTAAGGTACATGTAGACGGAGAGTCTAAATAAAAAATCCATAGAAGTTTTTAAATAAATTGTCAAAATGTAGTTTATGTCATACTTTTTTTCTTCAAAATAGTAGAAAGTATAGGTCACCGGGCTTTTTTCAAGCGACAGGTTGTGCAACATTGTCAGATTTTGTATAGGATATGCATGGAAACCCAATTTTACGTGATAAAAAGAAAACTAAATATAAAATTTTGAGATAAAATATGAGAAGATAGGTCTAATTATATATGATTTCAGATAAAAAGAAAAAAAAAATGGGGTCAACGGACTCGTTTTCTTGTTACAGAATACAATAGGTAAATTCATAACACATAATATTATACAAGTTATTTTATCTGCGTTATCTCCACTTATGTGGCAAAGTTGAAAAAAAATTAATCAAACAAAAATATTCTGTTTTCTTGTAAAATATGATAGAGCACACAATTTTCTATATTAACATGAAAAGTCTTGCATATGAATTACATACTAGTCTCGAATTAGCCCATTTCATAAAAGACCTAGACTGATTGTTATCTACTTTTTCAAAATCAAAGATGGAGGAAGACACCTCAGCTTTATTCAGACTATTTCGTTTGATTCTTATCTTGTTTCCATCATAGCGTTTGTTATTCGACGTGCCCGGTTAAGGTAATTTCCGAAATAAGTTTCTTTTGCATTGACATCGATATCAATGTTTCGTCGTAATTTCTTTAAATAATCCAACTATTAGACCAAAATGTTAACGTTAAAAATGTATTGTAGTCAGAAAAATTGTTCATGAAATTCTTTCGGGTACGAACGTTGTCCAAAATAAAAACTATACCTGTCTAATTCGTCAACAGGATTGCTAGTTCCGTTTTGTGCACACCAACATCCATAGTTGTTTAAACTATCGGCAAAATATATATCCTCTGACTTAGTTTTGAGTAAAAAGTGAATTCGATAAATGCTTTTCAGATCATCTACAAAATGAATAGATTATAAAATCGTTAAACATCTGCTTATTATAGAAATAATATAAACATTAACTACCTGTGTTAACGTGTTCCAAATGCATAGTGGCAAAAGACATACATTGTTTATTTTATTGTGCATAAATACATTCAACAGACTTATCTTCGTTTTTGTGTATTGAACATGAGTACTTTGAAAAGACATATATTTTCTATTCTATCATGCACATGCTCCTGAAAAATTACTTATTTTATTTAACAAATTAGGAGATGTGGTATGATTGCAGATGAGACAAGTGTGCACTAGCGTCTAAAATTATGTGGATGTTAACATCTTCAATAATGAGCAAAATCATACTGTATAGTCAGCTATAAAAGGGCCCGACTTGGCAAAATGTGACACAATTGAAACACATGTTTTTAATTGTATTGTACGAAAGTTCCTGGTAAAACAAACTTTTTTTTTGTTTTGTACATAAGTATTTGGTCAAACGTATATAGCTTATACAGTTTATATAGGTATACGAACCTGGTAAAATATATCTTGCAATTGTGTATTGTATTGCACATCAGTACTTGGAAAACATTTTTTTTATTGTATTGTACATATGTACCTTGCCAAGGCAGATTTTGTTTCTTGTATTGTATTTAGATATAAGTAATTGGTAAATCTTATCTTGTTCATTGTATTGTACATATATACATTGTCAAGGCAGATCTTGTTTCTTGAATTGTATGTAATTAAGAATCAAGATTTATCTTGTTTATTGTATTGCACACTATTACCTGGTAAAAACAAATCTTGACGTTTATCCATTGCATTAATTCCATCAGAGTTCCACATCAATGTTTGTGTAATACCTCTTGCTGCTACGTACACAGCTGTTAAAAGAAGATACAGATATTAAATATAATGCATCACAGTTAAATGTAGCAAAAGCGGAGGTATGATATAAGCCATATTTTGCCCTGAAACATCATGAATAGCAAACTTTCAAGCCTTTCAAAATGTTGATTAAATGATAAATGAACAGTTTAAAGATAAACTTGATATTAAGTGCAGAAGGATTCCTTGAAATGTCACTAGTACGTTATAAAAATGTCGAAATTTAAGTGATTTACCTAAAATAACAATATCATGCATAGTTTTTGGTCAATATATATACATGATATATGAGCAGCAGCTTTTACACACATTAACCTTTTTGTAAAATACATTTTGTAGCAGAGTACTAGTTGGTGTAACGCTGTTGCTCAGATACAAATATGAATGACAAGATATCAGAATTTGCAGATTTTACAATTTTGAACTAAATGTTAAAAGTCTGAAGCCTTAGTGCCAATATGGAAGACAGTATTCAAAAATAAAAGTATTGAGGTCCAACAGATGATTGTCTTATGAAAACTTTTAGGATGTTTTTTGGTATATTTATAATACATTTGATTTTTGAATTGAATGGACCAAATTATTCGTCTTATCATAACACATCATAGATACCAGGATTAAAACTTTGCACGCCAGACGCGCGTGTCGCCTACAAACGACTTATCAGTGATGCTGCAATCAGAAAAAGTTAAAGAGGCCAAATAAAGTACGAAGTTTAGAGTATTGCGAACCTTTAATTCCGAAAGGTTTTGTCAAATACTGCAAAGGTAATCTATTCCTGGGGTAGAAAATCCATAGTATTTCGAAAAATTTAAATTTTGTAAACAGTTAATCCATAATTATTACCATTTCAATGATAACTCATGACAATACAGAAGTGTTGACAACTTGGCTGGTTATACCCTCCACCAGCAGTGACATCGACCCAGTGGTAGTAAATAAGCTCATCATAGATACCAGGATTAAAATTTTGCACGCCAGACGTTCTTTTCGTCTAGAAAAGACTCGTCAGTGACGCTCGAAACAAAAAAGTGAAAAAAAAAGGCCAAATAAAGTACGAAGTTGATATCTTCTCATTTATTAAATATACGATGGGAGTTTATGAAACCTGAAGTGAGCGTTTATATAAAAAAGGAGATAATGCATGATTGCCAATAAGACTTCTATTCACAGAGACCGTATAACATAAATGTTAGCAACTAAACGTCATCGTTTAGCCTCCAACAATGAGCAATACCCAGACAAAAGAGGACGGTGTGTGGACCTAAGATGAATCTAACCCTGCCCATGTTGTGCTTGTATAGTACCAAGTCAGATTATTAAGACCAATCATAATTGTCTGTTGCAGTGTCCAATATATTTGATTTTGATAATTCCTGTTGTATTTTTGTTTATATGTTTTCTTAAATAAATTGTAATCTGTGTAATATTTACTGCATCTACTTGTGTTTGCAGTTTGTGCTTGTTTTTATATGTTTAGCATATTCATAATTAATCAATGCTTCTATACTTTAAATAATCTGATGGTTTTTACATGCATTAAAACATGTACATGATGTAAGCCATTTTAACATTTCTACGAAATATTTAAGATGCACGTTTGCAGTAAATTGGTAAACGTCATTTCAGAAGTAAACTGTGCAAGTGTATTAAAAAGAGTAGTAGTGGTTGGTTTGGGTATTCATACAACAAGATCAAACTATCCATTCGTGATTTGTGTTTTTCTCTTTCTCTTTCTAGTTAATCATGTTAATGTCAAATAATATATCATGTTTTTTTTTTCTCAAACTGTAATAGTTATTAAAAACCGGTTTACATTCTTAAAGTTGAAATCAGTTCTAACCTCTGTTCTGAATAATCTGTCTTAGAACTGGTCTGACCTTGATCAGGACAGAAAAGAAAGAATCAGTCCATCCACCCAACTTACCTGCCAAAATCCATAATACCATTAGAAGTACCAGAACTAAAACATGTATGCTGGCCATTTTCTGGCCTTGTTTTGCTGGAAAATAATTCAAATAATCTAGAATGTAATATGATCGTTTTTACTAAACAGATAAAAATATTATTTGATACAACAGTATTTTGTTACTAATAATCATCATAATAGTTTACACGGTTCCCATTTTTAACCTTACAAGATTTGGATAATGCCTTTGTTTCTATCAGAAGCAAAAACATGTAATAGCCTAAATTTTAACTTTCAACATATGAAAATACTTAGTATATAAATCAAACATTTGTATAACAAAGCTGATTGTTTGTACATTTGTAGACACGAACGAGCTTTCTTTGGGTCATCAGTCCACAAAAAAAAAAACGTTGGCCTACAATTGGGAACAATTGTAACACACCGTAAAGACCATCTGTTATACAATAATTCAAAAAAGAATAGAATCCAATTGATATGTACTAAATGTATATTAAATAGGTGAGACTTATGACAAATAGAAACTTTTATAATATAGTCTGTACTAAAACGTCTTCTCATTGGTGAATTCAAATCAAAATTGGTCGCTATGTTGACTCTGGTGTTTTAAAAATGAAAACTTATATAATAAACTGTATTACAAACAAATGCAACATGATTGCTATCGATCAAAATGGATGAAAACCTTTATTATGCCCCCTTTAATTTTAAATTCTTCTTATCGTGTTATATCTTATTGTATAGTGTTTTTCAAAGTAAAAATTTCAAACAATAAATTTAGTTTATTCTTAATCTGTTCTGTATGAAAAATTCTGAACAGCTATAAAAAGTAAAATAACAAAAAAAAAAAAAAAAAAAAAAAAAAAACTCCAACGAAAACTCAAAACTCAAAACGGAAAGTCTTTTATCAAATGGCAAAATCAAAAGCTCGAATACTTCAAACGAATGGAAGACAACTGCTATATTCCTGACTTGGTACAGGCATTTCCTTATGTAGAAAATTGTGGATTAAACAATCTTTTCTTCAGCTTTTTAATTATCTTATTGTCTAATCTATGTAATTAATGTATCATGTTTATTCTGTGTATACCAGTTGAAAGTACAGCGTGGAAAACGCTAAAGTGCACAGTTGTTCTAGTAATGTTTGATACTAATGACAATACCTTAAAGAGACGACCGAATCCTATGGAGAAAAGTAATGTACATCTTACTAAATTCCGCCAATTGTTAGGTCTCAATTCCTTTTTTCATCTTTTTATTTTCTGTAAAAGTAACGAGTAATGTGTGTTTCTTGAAGTACATTAAAAAAAATATCTGAAAAGACAACTGATGTAGAAAGTAGCAAACGAAGATAAATCAGAAATAGGTGAAATTAAAAATATCTTATCGGAACTTACAGAACTTACCGAAGTTGAAATATTTTTAGAATACTAATGATTAATCCACGGCTGATCAGTACGTTTTAATACAACAATGTCTAGAACATTAATTCTAATCTAAAGTAGTGTGTTTCATATGAACGAACAAGAATATAATAAAATAAAAACGTTCAATATGCATTACATCAACATAATAATTAAATACACTTTTTACAATCTAGCGGATACACAGGTATATATGGTTATAACTTAATAGATATTGACACATATACTTCTGAGCAATCTTGTTTTAAATCTTTTGTAAGATCAACAAAAAAGCAAACAGATGGTCGATACACCATTTACAAAATGGCATATAGACACTCTATAGACAAAATGGCATATAGACACTCTATAGACAAAGTACATAAGGAAAAATGAAAGACAAGAATACAAAAATGACCATAGCACAATAACACAAAGGCAGGATGTATAAATACCTAGCCACGCCAAAAGTATATACCAAATGGACTAAACAGTACAGGTTAAACTATACAAAGACAAATAAAAAGAACACTATAACACGTGATTAAGATGATAAACAACGTCAGTACCTAGAATCTATACCTCAAGACCATCATGTATTACTGTAAAAGCAGAAATTTTCGTTGGGGATTTAACTTCATTTATTTCGGGGATAACAATTATCCACGAAATGAAAACCCCAACGAAAATTTAACTGTAGATTTACAAAGACTGATATCAAAATACGTAAATATTTACATTATTTAATCAGACAAAATCATATTGACATTGTATAAATGATGAACATAAATGCATACAATGAAAATAGAAGCTTGATTAAATCAAAACAATAAAATGTTTTCTTTCAATCAGATGATAAACCTAATCTTTTGTTTGCACAGTAATAAATCTGACATGATCAAAAACCAGAAATTTTCATAAGGGGGGCCCACTGACTGCTTAAGAGGGGGCCGCTCCAGTCATGCTTCAGTGATTTCCTATATAATCAAGAAAATGTTTCCCACAAAAGGGGGAGGGGGGCGGGCCCCTTGAAAAACCCTCTAAATCCGCCTCTGAAAACTGTCAATCAATGTCATTTAACAGTCTAATGCGTCTGTAATGCCCGTAAGCCGATAGTCATTTATTACACAATCATTGTCCTTGGATAAAACATCAAAGGCGTGTAAAAGCAAGTTAGTGTGTGCAGGTTTGATTGCACTTATCCGAAGATCGACGGTTACTTTTTCAACAGGTACACCTTTTTCCTGCTGAGTAGACACTTGATCGTAATTAGTGCTCACTGTCACTTTTAAATGCATTATTGATTTTTCCCAACTGCGAAAGTTAAGATTAGTTTCATTGAGTATTGTCAATTATAAATTGGCATTTACATAATTTTTTTCACAACTTAAAAACCACGAAAATTAATCCCCACGAACCTTCCTTTTGTTTTAAAACTACGAAATTTTAACCCCACGAAAATTAATGTGTATACAGTATTTGTGAAGTTGATACGGAATATTTATCAACAAGGTCTTAGTATCTTCCGATGAACTTTTTAAGAAAAAGAACGAGACGTTCTTTGATATAATCCTGGTTCATCAACTTTCTGCTCAGAGTTTTATTACTGTCCCATTTAAGAACAGGGGATTTTGAAAAATGAATTGAAAGTTCAAAGAAAACGCGCCCCCTTATGCCCATGTATTGTTTTTTAAACTAACGAGTGTATTCACCTGTCATATTTAATATAAGCATTGCAAAATCAGTTTTCTTAAAAAAAAAAACTGACAACTTTGTTAAATAAAGCTAGTGTCTATGTCATTTCTGGTTTGATAGGGAAGTTCTATAGAATATCATCAATCGCGACTTACACATATACTCTTTCAGATATCGTTAACACAGATTGAATATCGTGATAAAAACCATCACGGGTAGTGTCATAAACCTCGAAGGGATTGTAACCTGAATATGAAATAAGTACAAGGTGAACACAGAGATTTTGTCGTATTTTGACTATCTCATCAGTATCTCAACAAGTTAAGCATATTTGTCAATAGACAAAAAAAAATGGGAAATAAAAACAGATGCAAGATGTTAATTTGTTTCACGATAGTGATGCCCAGCATATGAATAAGAGAGTAACAAAGACCGTGTATGAAACTTGGAATCAGAAATGCCATTTAAATATCAATGTATAAAATCCTGTAAAACAAATAGGAAAAAGTAGCAAGACTATTATGTAAACTTTTAAAGAACAAGAATGTCAAAAATTGTCGTTTTTTAACCCAGAAATAAAGGAAGTGTTATCCATTACCGCTGTAATGAAAATATCAAGTTTATCTGATTTAATTGGTTACAAAAATTTTAATTGTTCGAAATACCAAAGGTTTCTTTCCAAGGAATAGATTACCTTAACTAAGCTGTTTGGAAGATTTACGGAGTTTTTAGACTTCAATGCTCTTCAACATTATTAATATTTAAACTTTATCTTGTCTATTCGAACGTCACTAATGAGTCTTTTGTAGACAAAACGTGCGTCTGGTGTATAAAATTATAATAAAATTGAGAATGGAAATGGGGAATATGTCAAAGAGACAACAACCCGACCAAAGAGCAGATAACAGCCGAAGTCCACCATTGGGTCTTCAACGCAGCGAGAAAATCCCGCACCCGGAGGTGGTCCTCAGCTGGCCCCTAAATAAAGTTGAGTACTGTTTCAGTGAAAATTGACATCACACTGAACTCCAAAACATATAAAGGAACTAAAATTAAAAAACATACAAGACTAACAAAGGTCAGAGGCTCCTGACTTGGGACAGGCGCAAAAATGCGGCGGGGTTAAACATGTTTTGTGAGATCTCAACCCTTCCCTGTACCTCTAGCCAATGTAGAACAAAGAAACACATAGACTGGTATCGTTTATAAATATTGTTTTACATAGAATTGGGGAATTGTAAGTTTTCTTTATTCTGGGAAGCCGTTGGCCACATATCCATGATGACAGTTAATATGAAAGTTCATAGCAAGCCTTCAATAAACGTTAAAAAAGGTGTAATGATGATGAAAGTTTGGTCACTTTGACAGTTAGCCATGGAACACAACACGAAAACCTGGATATTCTTCATCTTATCAAATATACACAAAGATCGGATTCCAGGTCGACCGATTGTTTTCATTCAGTCTTTAAGCCATTGACAACGGATCTAACCTTACAAGAAATGAAGAGAAATCTATGTTGATGATGATAGTTATCATTATTTTGACAGCTAGCTTCGGTTGACAACCCCAAACTCGGATATATGCTTTATGTTTCAAAAATTAGACAAAGATTGAAATTGACCATTTGATTCAGCGGATGACCATCACATAGAAAAGATATTATAATACTTTAATAGACCTCTGTAAATTACCTTAACTTTTTGACATTTTTACCTATTATGTCTGTTGTTTTGCTCACACATTGTTGTCAATATAATCGAATTATATGCAACTGCCATTCTAGTGAGAGGTTTAGCTAGCTACAAAACCAGGTTTAATCCACCATTTTCTATATCAGGAAATGCCCGTACCTAGTCAGGAATATGACAGTTGTTTTCTATTCGTTTGAGGTGTTTGCACTTTTGATGTTGCCATTTTATAAAGGACTTTCCGTTTTGAATTTCCATTTGAGTTTGGTATTTTTGTTATTTTACTTTTTTTTTCATAGCCAAGATACAATGTTAACTAAAGTATTTAGAAAATAAGAAGTTTGAATTTTGAATTTCTATCCAGCTACCACATTGTTAGTATTCATTAACGTATATTCTGTGTATCTCATAATATACCTTATCCCTATTTAGTCTATTCAAAAAAAAAAGAAAATGGTCACTTAGACAACTTCCTGTTTGGTCAAGTGTCGCAAAAACAAAGGTAAGCTGAGGGAGGTAAAAGATGAGAAAGTGATCATTTTGAAATTTTGATAGTTCATGATCACAACTTTAAGCCATAAAAACGCTTTGTTTTCAAAAAGTTGTACCCTATTCCTTTGTATTAAATGTACATTGAATGGGTGAGACATATGACCAATAGCACATTGTAATGCGATATAAAAACTAGCAACCAAAGATAAATCGGAGAAAGACAATCTTAAAAACATTTGAAGAAACTTAACTTACCGAAGTAGAAATGATTTTTAAAATACTAATGATTAATCCACGACTGATCAATCCATTTTATTACAACAATGTCTAGAACAATAAATCTAATCTAAAGTAGTGTGTTTCATATGAAAGAACAATAATATAATAAAAACGTTCAATATTTATTACAACATCATAATGATTAAGTACACTTTTTACAATCGAACGAAAACACAGGTAATACATGTATATGTTTATGCCTAAACAGATATTGACAGAACTATTTATTGTTCTGAGCATTCTTGTTTTAATTCTTTTGTAAGATCAACAAGAAAGCAAATAGATGGTCGATACACGATACACGATGTTGTAGACGAAACCCACATCTGGCGTACGAAATTGTAATCCTGGGGACTATGAAGAGTTTATTTATACTATACACTAGCATATTCTCCTCAAACCATTGAAACAGTTTTTGTATTTTGTCACAAAAGAAAAACAACATAATCCTCCAAATTAAGAATGATCAGTGTCTTTTAATAGATAAATAATGTGAAAATAAAATATGAACTCTGCATCCATACTGCGTCAATGCCAATATTTTAGAAGAAATTTTACAGTTATTGTCTGCAAGATGACTAATATGAATATTTCTAAATAACCTTAACTGATAGAGTTGTCAGTTGTATAAAATATAGTCATCAACATCACAAATATTCAATAGTCATTATCACATGATCACGTTCTACGAAACCCCGGAAC